TATCCAATGCTTCTGATATTTCCTTGATTGAATAAATATAACCATAACGAGAATAATCATCTGTGAATATTATAAATGAATCATAACCATCTACACTTTTTACAGGAAAAGGATCACAGATATGTATGTGAATTATTTCTAAAATTCATGCGCTTCGTTTGGCATCTTTCTTTATTTTCTTAAAATATTTTCCTTTAATACAATCAATACATTGTTCTTAATCTGAAAATTCTAATGGCGAAAGAATTGATTTCTTAACCAATCGTTCTATTCCCTCCCTTAAAATATGGCCTAAACAACAGTGTCATAATTTCGATGATACATCATGAACTCTCTTCCGCTTATTTCCTGCATTCATAGACGAGGAGGCATTCTCATTCTCAGTGCTCACAGCATTCACATTCTTAGAAAGTGATAACAAATATAGCTCGTCTTGTCGGAAGGCAAGACCAACACACGTATGATTAAACATTATCTTACATTTGACATTACCAAAATGACAATCAAATCCATCATCGTCTAAACATAAAATACTTATTAAGTTTCTACGCAAAGAGGGTACATAAAGGACATCTGTAAGCTTAAGTACAAAGCCATCATTAAATTCTAATGGGAGTTCTTCAATGGCTTCAACTTTAGCTTAGACTCCATTCGCCACCTTAATGTGTCTTTCTCCTCTTCGTAGGGTCCTCCTCGTATGTAATCCCTGTAATGAATTTGCAACATGAATAGTTGCACCTGAATCAAATCCACCAAGTAGATTTTACATAACTTAAATACAAGAACTCATCTACGAATGTAATAATATCCTCACCGTTTCTCATCAGGTGCTTCAGGAAATCTGGACAATCCTTCTGATAGTGTCCAGTCTTCTTGCACCATTTACAGGTGTCCTTGTCCACTTGAACATAGTTGGATTTCTGATGGTGATCATTCTGAGGGGCCTTTCCTTATGACTTAGAGGAGGAGCTATTGTTCCACTGAGGTTTCCCTTGTGGTTTGTATTTCTTGTTGTAAAAGTTCTTCCTTTTATTTTCCTTCACATGGTTAGCTGAGTCACCATGTGAGCTCTTAAGTCTCTCCTCTTCTTGCACACACATTATAATGAGTTTCTCAATGTCCCACTTATCTGTCTGTAAGTTGTAGTTCACAACAAAAGTCTCATACTCTTTGGGCAAAGAAGCAAAAATCAAATGAATTAGAAACTCATCCTTGAGCCCCAAGTCCATTGGCTTGAGCTTAGATATCGTGTTGCTCATCTTCAATATGTGCTCTCTAATCTCTCCACCAGAGTATTTTTCATTGACTAACTTCTTAATTAGAGTGCTTCCAAAAGCCTTTAAAGAGCCAATAAACTAACTCTCTACCTTCTTGAGATACCCAGTGGTGGTGGTACATTCTAGGATCGAACCCCTTATTGGAACCTCAATGGTGCCCTTAATCACCATCAAACACTTGCGGTTTGAACTATCCCACTTCGCGCAATCAAGATCATACTTCATTCTCACTTCTGCATGGTCACGCTGCCGAGTAGCGAAAGTTGCATCGGTCTCATTTTCTACCCTCACCAGGTCCATAGGCTCAGTGGGACATGGAGAGATAAGTCCTAGATCACTGTCTGAGAGCGCAAGTGCTATCTCAAGCTTCTCTCGCCATGTGTTATAATTGCTCCTATTGAGAGGCAGAATGGACGAGATAAACGTCATTGGGTTATAGCCTGAAAACAATGTCAGAGAAAGTGAGAAACATTTAACATAATAAATGCATGCCATAATTTAACGTTGGTCAAAATTAAAACATACAATGTGCTTCTACATTAATTGTACATCACCGTTGGGCAGAAATAGAACTAATGCATAAAATATTATGAATAAAAAATTATAATATCGTTATCATCAACTTTGGTCAGAAAATAACAATATCATAATTTACCCCGATCTAGATCTACACGCTAGTGTAAGGCTCCGATACCATTATGAGCATAAACCAGGGTCAACTAGGCATATATCAGTGGGTGTACATGCTTCTATTCGCGATAAAATGACCTAGAGTACGAACTGGAGCGAGAGGGATCGAGAGAGAGAGAGGGGGGGTAGGGATGCCTGGAAGAAGAGTCCGCCTGGGGGCGGTGGTGAGGTTGGCGATGGTGTAGTAGCAGTGGCGCCCCTGCGGAGGCGTAGACGTCTTGGTGACAACGAGACGGTGAAGAACGGTGGCGGCGCTTCCGGCCGCTGCTGCGCACCCTTGATCGGTTAGGGTTGTGTCGGTGGGGTACTGTGGCTGCGGTGAACCTCGTACTGCGAGCCGCCGGTCCCCACCTATTTATATAGTGCAGTGCGACGGGGGCCCACCAACGATATAGAGTTGGACGTCCCCGATCAGAGCGTTGGATCAAGGCCCAAGTTGACCGTTGGGCCAATCTTGGTGGAGAGATCAACCTAACAACGCCGAGCAGACAACCGCATCTAGCTACGAACAGCATACTTTGCCTACAAAGAGAAATTTTATAGTGCTTGAAATAAACTAGAGCCATCCATTTGAGTAGATCTAATGGTTATAAATAAGAAGAGGAAGAACAAATATAGAGGAACTTAAGTCGTGGGCCGTAAAACTAGTTTTAGATTACATTTAAAGGGTAGATTAGTATTTTCGTGTTTCAAAAGTTGCTCTCTCCTTCTCTCGTGTCTCCTGCAGCTTCCTCCCTCTCCAAGTGCGGGCGTCGCGGCAGCCCCCGGCTCGCAGAGCGCGGAATCTGGTGCGGAGGCTCCCTGGCGTGCGCGCCCCCGGTGGGCGGCCCCTGCAGTTTCCTCCCTCAGATTTCTGAGAAGTCAATTCCGGCGCCCGTGGAGCGTGCGTGGCCGCCGCCTGGATCAGGGTACTCGTGGGCAACGAGCCGTGGGTGAGCGACGCGCCGCCGCTGCCACAGGACGTGCTGCTGCTGCTGCACGCCGCTCCCCCACAGCCAGTCGCTCCGTCGATGATTCTGCGGCCCGCTGGCCCTGACGTGGCGCCGTCTGCCATTGCTCCGGCGGCCAGCGGCCAGGCTAGTGCATGTTAATTAGTCCAGGAGCAAACTTAGTATTTTTTAGGTGGCCGAAAAAAAATCCACGGAGAGGAACCACGGGTTCCTCCAAGCACAGTAACAAATCTTTCCTACACATGGCCCCGTTCGCTGGTCTGAAACTTGGCTGAAACTGACTGAAAAATACTATTCCTGCTGAATTGTTATGAGAGAAAAACTCTCTTTCGGCTAAAAAAAGAAACCGAGCAAATCGAATATGGAATAAGCCGAACATGGCATACTACTGGTACTCCTACTAGTGTTATAACTATTTTTTCCTACAAAATTGGGCAGCTAATGCATCCAGATTTGTTGCTCTCTGCTCTGCTCTTTCTCCGTTTAGTACTGGTACGTTGTACTTGTATGGTGACTCGAGAGTTTGTTGTGTATACGAGTGTGGATTAGGTTGAGCTGTTGCTGGTATCATGATAGCCCATGATTAGCAAATAAAGCTGCATTAAGGAAGGCTAGACAGTGGCCACAGCTGTACTCAGAACTACTATCAGCACTTGATCATTGTCCAGATCCAGCTCAGTGCTGTACGCACTTGCAGTGCTGCCGTGCAACAAACGACCGCGCTCTGTCAAGCGTCCTATCTTCCGTGCCATTTCCAATTAGTTTCTTTAGGTAGGAGTAGCATCTGTCTCGATAATATGCGATCCGTCCGTCGTTAGGGACCCAGTAATCGAAGAGGCCGGACTATTCATTATCCACATCAACGCAAGTACTGATTAGTCCGGCTTATCAACCATGATACAGTGTTTTTCTCTTCCAACAAAACAGCGTCAGCCGGCTTATTAGCCGTAGAAACCATCAGCCGAACATAGCCTTAGGAAAAGATTCAGACTGTCGTGTGGATGGATCGGATGGCAATTCTGAAACGAAGGCTAGTCACTGGTAATTACGTACCGAGCCTTATTCCCTTTACACTACGTATGTATGAGTATTATATATTGTGCTCGTTGTTTAAGAACTAATAATAATTGGTTTATATATATGCACCGACGCTTCATAGGTGGATTGGGTTTTGGCTAGCTAGCTTTACCTTTCATCAAGAAATAATAATAAAAAAAGCGCTAGCGTTGAGCCTTTGACACATCGTGTGGTGCGATCGCTTCCCACCCACCAAACAAAATCCAGACGAGACCAAGTGGATTAATTCATCCGTTGTCTCCCAGTCAATGCAATTATATTAGTTGCCGTCGTTGATTGCCCCCACAAAACGCAGCTGTTGCCTTCAGTGCTCATCTCACAGGAGGCCAGCAGGTTATACATTTTTTTAAAGCTAAACAGAAGAGGTTATAATATAAAATCTAAGAAGGCAGTAGTAGTAGTCGAATCGCCAAAAAAAAAAGTCCAACACACGATACAAAATCATGCGTTCTGGTCTTGTGGACGATGATGAACAAAGTAAGATATTTAAAGGTGGCAAACCACTGCACTTTGACATAGTTTATTTCGCATCTAGTGCATATATTGTACATAATAGCATGAGAGCCTTACATATCTTACATCGATGGATATGCATGACTTGCTATTATTGCTAGCACAGTACACACGAAAGAAGAAGAAAAACGCGCGATACATACAGTGCAACACCGAAATAAACCTACACACTGCAGCTTTGTGTCTGCATCTGCACGTACTCGATCGTCCCAGAAACCAAAACAACGGGGACTCAAAGACCTAAACCTACACACTGCAGCTTTGTATACGAGTACATTCTGCTGTACTGTACACACGCGATCCCATGCATGCACACCAAGCAATGTGAAGCAAAGGAATCCATCCAAATTAAAGCACCGTACGTGCCGTGTGGTTGATCACGATCATCTCCGACCCCGAGCGATCACGTTCACATGGCCAGCGGCAATCACTCGGCACGCAAAAGGGTCCAGCAGCCGGCCTTCCGAGGCGATCACGATTCACGTGGCGGCGATCAGGCGATGGATTCCTGCTGCATGTAGTAGGGGAGCAAGGCGACGGTGTTCTGGCGGCGGAGCTGGTCGTAGAAGCGGCGGATGAACTCCTCCGCGTCGGCGTCCACGGCCTGGTTGCCGACGCCTGCTTCGTCCTCGGACGAGTAGTTGGACACCCGCACGGAGAACTCGCCGCTGGCGCCCGGGAGCAGCAGCGCGGGCGACGCCGACGACGACAGCGCGCAGGCGTACTCCTCCTCATCGCCCGGCGCGAGGTCGAGGTCCCCGGGCGACGAAGGTGGCGCGGGCGATGATGCGGCGGCGGCGTAGTAGTCGATCCTGGCGAGGGGCGGCGCGGGCTCGGCGTCGTGGAGGGAGAGGGAGCCGTACCCGTCGTACTGGTACCCGTACTCGTAGCTCTCCTCCTCGGCCACCGCGCCGAGGCAGGGGAAGTAGGCGAGGCGGCGCCTGCTGGAGGAGGAGGAGGCCGCCGCGGGGTCCGTGGGGCTGTTGGAGCAGGAGAACTCGTAGTCGCGGCGGCGCAGCGCGTAGTCGGTGCCGTGGTGGGCGTGGGAGTGGTGGGTGAGGAGGTTGGCGACGGCGCGCGTGACGGCCTTGGTGCGGCGCTTGTTGGCGAGGAGGTGCATGCTGAGGAGGAGCTTGCGCTTGCCGTTGCGCGCCATGAAGAAGGCCGCGCGCACGTAGCTCCACAGCCGCTTCCCCACCGCCGGCGCCGCGTGCACCTCCATATATATACTACACCCGCTGTACGATCGATCGACGTCGTCGAACCAGAGGGGGTTTACCTGCCGGCCGATGGATGGGATTGGGATGGGGCTACGAGAGACGAGACGGTTAGCAAGTGCGGCTATCTTGGTGCTAGGCTTTTTGCCGTGCTGGGTGCCTGGGTGGTGGAGGTGGATGGATGCATATATAGGATCGGCGCAAACAAAAAGGTGTAGCTCGCTTAGCCTGCAAGGGAGATGTGGTGCCTGGCTGCCTGCTGCTGTGCTCTGGTGGCGGCCCGCAGGCCGGCGACATTTGGATAATTCTTCCGATCTTGGCTTAGTTTTTTCTCGCCTTTTCGGTTGGTAGGCGGCGCTTTGAGTTTGATTAGTTGCTTTTGGCTCCCTCTGCCTCTGTCTCGTTGTGTACGTGCTGCATGCTTTGCGTGCGCCACCGGTTGGCTGCCCGCTGCCCCGCCGGCCGCCACCCCAACCGCCACTGCACGGGCGAACAAAGCGAAAGCAAAGCACCGATGCACCATGGCCCGGAACTGCCCGCCGTCCGTCCGTTTGAATGCGGCCGGTCACGCTTCCCGGCACGTGAGTTCCACAATCGAATTCAAAGGCGTTAGGAATCGAGTGAAATATTCCTTTCTCAACATCTGAAATTTTTAGTCACACCAATTTTACGTACAAATTGCACTGAAACCATTACTGTAGCTCTAGTAAAAGTTTAGTACAAATTCAACGTAAGCTGAAGGTACATAAAATAGATTAAGACGTTAGGAGTTCCACAATCGACTTAAAAGGCGTTCAACTTGGGAAGAAAATATTAAGAGTTCAACATAATAATAAGACGTTAATTAAGAGTATTTAGAGGAAGGCTAATAATACAGCCGGCTGAATGAAGACTTACAACCAATCTAACAGTCCATTCGCATAATAGTTAATTGACTTATAGCCCATTTGCCTGTCTTACCACATTTCTTGGTTCTTGTGCATAAGCTGGCTGTAAGTTTAAAATATAGTCCAGTTCTTTTCTCTCTTCTATCTCAGCCTCACTTACAGCTCCTTAGTATACTTACTCTTAGAAGTAGCAGTACTTGGGAAGAACCAAAGGAAGCGAAAGAAACATGCTTAGCATGTGTTTGGTTAAGAGGGAACGGTCCAAACAGCAAGGTCTGTGACAAACTGAGTTCACATGACTAGGATTTTTACCCCTTCTTTTGCTACTATTATGTTTGACGATCGATTTTTAAAAAAAAAATCTACATAGTTTCACAGCATGTGAACTATATATATTATAAATAAAGCATTTTTTATAGTACTAAATACATAAGTCTTATATATATTGTTAACTATAATTTTTTAATTAACTTAGAACGGAGCTAATCTGACGTATAAAAACGGAGGGAGCATGTACACGGCGCTACAAATCACTGCAAGTGTTCGTGGCGGCAGTCAGCCACGTGTCGCCCACGTCGTGTTTCCTTAATCTGGTCACCTTCGGCGACACTGGATCATCCTCATCCAAACTCAAAAAGTGGTACTCCTAGTCCTGAGTCCTGACTCGTGATGGATGAGCCGTCACGACAGGTTTCGCCTCGCCACAAACGCGAGAAAAAGAATAGGAAAGAAAAGGAAATTCCTTTTTTGCAGACAGAAAACTCAAAACTGCAAGCAACAAAACAACAACGTGGAGGGGCCATCAATCATGGATTTTTCTTCGCCGACGATGGATGACCCTGACCGTACCTTTTTGCGAGGACATGGATATGATGCTCGTTCGCTCCAGTTGGTCACGCTCGTGACCTCGACTTGCATTGTGGCCAAAGTAAGGGGGCGTTTGGTCCTCTTTCTAAACTTTAGTCGCTGTCTCATCGAATATTTGATATGTGCATGAAGTATTAAATATAGACTAATTACAAAACTAATTGCACAGTTTACGACTAATTTGCGAAACGAATCTTCTAAGGCTAGTTAGTCCATGATTTGACAACGTGGAACTACAGTAAACATATGCTAATGATGGATTAATTAGATTTAATAAATTCGTCTCGTGGAGTACCGACGGATTTTGTAATTTATTTTTTTATTAGTATCCGAATACACCATGCGACAGTCTCGTGTGAGACCTCCTACCTAAGTTTTAGTCACTGGGACACCAACGAACAGTCTCGCCCTTGCATCCGTCGTCCTGACCAGCCGCTCCAATAAACGATCAACAAAGTAGCGATGCCGCCTGAGCCCGTTCGTTCAAACTTGGAAGCACGGACCGGGGTATATCTTGTTTCCCAACCCTTTTCACGTCTCGTGCAGCAGGTGCAGTTGGGAAGGTCGCGCCTTTCCCCTTTTTCCTCGTGCATGATTCGTTACTCGTTACCCGTTGTCAGTTGAGCAGCTGATATATGAATGTCCATACGTACCACGTACTGTGTTGCACTTGTACTAGCTAGGGTACGTACCTCTTGGTCTTGGTTGGGCAGCTGTCAGTTAACAGTACATGCATCATCTTGGTCTTGGTTAGGTAGGGCAGGAAGGTACGTAGGCCTTGTTTGGTTGGCGATTAAAATTTGCCATGTCAAAGATTTGGCAGTAAAAAATCAGATAAAAAAAAGTTGCCAAAGATTTGTGAAGCCAAATATGAGAAGTTGACAAGTTTTGATAGCTAATCAAATACTAGCTAAAATCATGACTTGCCAAATCTCTAACTTAGTAAATTTTGGAAGTGACCAAGCATACATGTAGCTCGTGCCAGTGCCCTGATCTCCATCTTTCTTTACATTTATTTACAGGGCGTAAATACTACATATGGATCGGATATTCCCATTCTCTGAGCGTGTTTTTTTTTTTTTTTGCCAACGTCGTCGTCAGGGTTGGCAACGAATACAGACTGGTGCAACGGTAAACATAAACTTGAACGCCAATAATAATACAGTATCTGCTACTCTGCGACATATATATATATATATATATATATATATATATATATATATATATATATATATATATATATATACCTCTTAATAAAGCTAGGGGCCCAAGGAAAACGGGTCGAGTTGTGCAGGGAAATTAAGAAGAAAAAAAGTGGTCGATTTGTGCAGGGAAATTGAAAGAATGAAGTGTTTTTTTTTCTTGGGTTGGCACTTGGCAGCAGAAGCAGCCACGTGTCGTGTGCATCTCATTTCCTTAACCTGGTGCCCTTTTGACAACACCGGATGCATGGATGGATGGATGAACCATTCAACCTCAAAGGCAAAAAAAGCTTCATCACGAGGAAACGTCCCCTTCATCACAAGACCCCAAACCAAAAGCCAGCACGGGAAACGAACAATGTGAAGGCCTTCTTTTCTTCTTCTTCTTCTTCTTTGCATTGGCAAATCCACATGGCAACAATAATGTGAAGGCCTCCAACCATACATGGATGGATTCTTTTCTTCATTTCTTCATTCTTCTTCTTCATGCCACCCCGAGAGCAGGCCCTTGGCTTTGACAGCTTGACTTGTGCCGGATCGCCGCTTATCTTGGCCGCCAATGGTAGTTTAATTAAATTATAAAGCCGTACTTGAAAATCACCAGACTATACTAAAGTCCACCAAATAATCTAATAATTCGTGTACTTAGTACTTTGTGCAGGTAACCATCACTCTCTAATCTATGTCGGTACCGCAAAAATGCTTAATTTTCATCAGGGGAGAAAAAAACGAGCTTGCTCGCCGTCGTGCACGCTACACTGCTTCCTGAGTGCCTGTCATTCAAATGGGAGCAAAGGATTTTCGCACAGGCAATTGTCAGAGGAGTCAAGGACGGGGGGATTTTGTATCACTCAACCATCCCTTGCTAAAATCAGGGGAAAGCAGCAGGCACGACTGCACAAGACATTCAAGAAAGGAACACCTACAAAACCAAGAGCATGGAATGAATCCTCGGTCGAATAGCAGGATTAACATTGGAATGGATCAACTACGTACTGCATGTATTGCCCCATCGTGAGACTCCTTTTAGTTTTTTGTGCTAAGCTCTGCAACGCAACAGAACCATGAGGCATTATTTCCAGATTAAAACATTTTTTTTTGAGATAACTGGAGGGGCCGTGGCCCCTACAGAAATTTATTAAAACAGAACAAAACAAACAACGTACAGAGAGAAAAGGGAAAGGTGAATAACAGGAAGATCAAGAAACAAAGAAGGAAACAAAACAAAATAAGAGAACAACAGAAGATTAAGCAAACTTTGGCTACATTGATTAAAACATTTGATGGATGGGAGAGTATCTAAAATGTGGCATACATCAATGACTACATATTATTTCCACATTGCAACATTTGGGGGATAACAAAGGACCCACGAGCATACATCGATGACTATAACATATTACGAAACAAGAAGAGTACACCAGAACCAGTCACAACATGTATGGCAGGTGGCGGTTGCAGCTTCCTTTGCTGCAAAGAGAGTAGCCGAGGTTCAAAGGTAGGTGGAGCTTACTGAACACGACGATGTCATTCCTGTGCTTCCAAATCATCCAATAGGAAAGCAGGACGGCGAGACCCAAAGAAGTTCACCAAGCCCATCTCGTAGTGCACAAACACCCGACCCTGATTGTCACTCTGGGGCAGCAAGCAATCCTTAACTTTTTCCATCACCTTCTCCTCAAGGTCGAGGACAAAGACGGCGTTGTTGTCATACACCACGAGCAACGATCCCTTGTTGAAGTGATACCACCTCGCGCCGCCCTGCTATAGAGGGCGATAGTCTGGGTCTAGCACCGCCGCTGGAATTCTGAATATGGTGCGGAGCCATGGCGTAGGGGTGCCTTCATTACCTTCCTCTTCGTCGTTTTCTTGTTGCGTCAAAAAGTCACGTGCCCAAGGTAGATGCAAGCAACAGAGAGCTTGTTGTCTCTGTTAACGCAGAGGACCGGCAAGCCTCCGGCGTGGATTGGGAGCTTTGTCAAGGAGACGCGCGTGGTGCCCACCTCCACGCTGAGTTTGTACAAGTCGTTGTCTCGGGCCTGACACTTCCTAGACCCATAATGCATGCACAACCAGTGCGCCGTGCCCTGGTGAACGACGGCGGATCTCCCACACACCATGGAGAAGCGATGTTTGTCCAGACATTTGGTGGGTGCGCTCCAGAAACGCGTAGAGGCAGAGTATGAGTGGAGGTACACCGCATCGGACTGGGGACATTGGCTGATGATGAGCAACTGCGAGAACATGTTGCCCCGCTGCTCTCCATCGTTGCTGTCGGCTGCTGTGATGATGGCGAACTTGCTGAAGTAGACATTGGCATCGTGGAACTCCAGAGGCGGGAGAACGTGGTGCTCACCGCTAATAGGATTGCAGAAGCCAACCAGCAATGGCCAGTTCGTGTCTTTGAAGCTGTGATGAGCGCCACGGAAGGTGCGTGGGATGAGGTTCATCAGTATGATGCCGTGGCTCGCTACGAGGGGCTCAGCGTAGGTGAAGGTCCCGTCAGCGGCACCAGCAAAGAAAGAAGTGAGTGAGCGACCCGTAGGGCCAAGCGGCGATCCCGGTGTTGGGAAGAAGGTAGGCACGGAGACTGAGGAGTTTTTGCTTCGTTCGCAACTTGAATGTCCTCTTGCAACGCTTGAATCTTGTCTCCTAGAAGAAGAACCCGAGGAGGTGCACGTGGTGGCCCTCGTCCTTGTTAGAATTGATCTCATCCGTCTTGACCCAACGGTCGAGATGGACCCCTTGACCGCGTCCTGATCGGGGACGTCCAGCCATCTAGTGGCTAGTGGGCCCCCGTCGCACAGTACCTATAAAGAGGAGGTGGGGCAAACGGCTCTTGATACGAGGTTCACAGCCGCCGCCACAACCCCACTGTCTAACCCTAGTCCGATCGAGAGGGAGGCACTGCCAGCGGCGGGAAGCGCCACTGCCTTTGCCACCACCGCCGGTCTCCACCGCTACAGCAACCATCGCTGCTCGTGCGCAGAGCTTCACCGACGAACCAGCGATGGCAGGGAGCTCCTCCAACCCCTCCGACGGTCAGATGCTCCTACATCTCTCTCTCTGTCTCTCTGTCTCCTTTCCCCGAAGCAAGCTCTAGATCTATTTGATTCAATTAGTAAAGATATCACCCTCTGATCTGCACCTAGATGGTCCAAAGTATCTAACGATGGTATCGGAGCGAGGTTTCCCTAGGCGTGGATCTTGTCAGGGGCAAGAAACCGATTAGAAAAGAAAAGATAGACTAGATCTGTTCGGATCTAGACAGAGAAGGGGTCAGCCGAACCCTAACCCTACGAAGAAGCGCGTGGGGAAGAAGAACAGTCTCTAACCCTAATTGAGTGAAGATGGAAGGGGCTCGGCTTCAAGACCGCTTGATCCGAACCCTAAACCCGCGACCAGATCTCGGAGAAAGAAATAGAAAGAAAAAGAGAAAAGAAGGTGATTCAAATCGATTCAAAATTTCACCAAACCCTAACCCTAGAATCCCCAAATCCCAGCAAAGATGAGAACGAACACAGGGTCCTACCTGGGCCTTCATCCCGCCACCGGCATCGCCATCGTGCGGGAAAAAGACCGCGTCGTCGGCCCTCGCCGGCGTGCGGGAAGACGGCCGAGCCACGCCACCGTGTGGGCTCGGTCCGCAAAGAGCACCATCGTGGCTCTCCTCGACTGTGCCGTGCGCGCCGGCGAGAGGTGCCGCGGCGGCGCCGCCACCTCCATTTCCTCCTCTAGACGCCATGCGCGGCTGTTGGCTGCACTCGGCGCGGATGAGAGAGAAGGGGAGGGAGAGAATGCGGCTAGGGTTGAGGGAAGCCGCGGCCGGTGGGGGTTTTGATCCTCCGAGATCGATGCCTGGCCGTCGGATCGTGGTGGGCGGCCGAGATGCATTGGGCCGAAAGAGGCCCAGGCGGGCTGGCACTTTCCCGGCCCAGGCCCAGGTTGCGGCCTGGGTGCGGGGAGCGAGCGCGTGCGACGCGAGAGCATGCCGCTAGGCCACATAGGCGCTAGCCGCTCTTTGGTCATGCGCGGGAGAGGCCATGCCATGAGCCGCCGACCGTGGGCACTCATCTGGCATTGCTAGCGTTAAGCGAGCTTCGGCCAATGAAGCTGTTTTTGGTCATTGGGCGAAATGGACAAATGCACAGTACAATTTTATTCAGTTTTTCTTTTTCCAGAAACTGATTTGATTCATATTTGATGAATTTCAATTGAAATTTGAGGTAAATCTCTGTACAATTTTGTTCAACGATAATTTTGTTAAGAAAACAACATAGTATTTTAAGAGTTTCTGGAAAATAGAATAAAAGATCCATTCATTTTTTCCGCTGCGTATTTAAAGTTGTTTTTCATTATTAAATTCGAACCAACGGGAGAATTTAATTTTGAAAAATAGACATGTTATCAAATTATTATAATATTGTTATTTTCTGACCAACGTTGATGATAACAATATTATAATTCTATGCGTTTTATGTTTGAAGTTTAAATCTCTGATGAGTTTTGCATCAAAGTGATCAATTTTTCAGAGAATAGATAAAGATCGAGGAATGCTCTTAAACTAGAGAAATGTATTTTCATGTTTCCGCTGCAACGAAGTTGATTGTCTTCTAATTAAATTTGAACCAACGGGAGAATTTAATTTTGAGGAGCAGTTCTATGTTTTCAAGATTATTTAGGTTCTATACGTTAATTCCATCTCTGTCCAACGATGATGTGGAATTAATGTAGAAGAATGATGTTTATTCTATTTCTGACTAACGGTGATATAGAATAGAACATAAAAATTTCAAAGTTTAATGAGCATTATTGTTGAATATTTTTTTTCAAACAAAGACCTCCATGCTTTCATTCTTGAAGGCAGTAAGAGAAAATGAGCTGGGTACTTGTGACTCAGATGATGAAATGTCTAAGGGCAAGTTATATATGAAAGAATGCCATTGTTTTAAGGGACTGTGTTCTCTTTAAAGAATGACTTCAAAAGAAAAGTATTCTAGGATATTGATCCAAGAAAAGAGACAGATCAATGAGAGTCTTCATTGAGAAATGTCTTTTATATACTCTCTGTGAAGAAGAATTTATTTTCAGTTTCACTTATGAGAGTTGTAAAAGTCATATACATGTTTAATTTGACTAACATTGGATTAAACATGTGTGTTAAAGAGTATTCGGATTTATTTCTGAATTTGATGATTGAACACGAGCCAATCCTGACATTTATGTCCGTTTAAGAGAATTATCTCACATGACGGAAAAAAGTTTGTGATAGTACCTGCATGGCAGGAAAAGTTTGAGAAAATACCCGCAAGGCGGGGTAAAGTTGGCATATTACATATGTTAACCAATGCTGCATGGCGGGAGAGTTTTGGCATAGTACTTATCCCGCATGGCGGGAGAAGGATGTGATGACTCATGTGCTCTAAGTGTATCCTGCACATGGAGAGAAGTTTGGGGTAGCTCTTATGCTATCCCAGTATTGACCGTACACTCTGATTGTGTCATGGTCATTAAGTACTCAATGAGTTTAAGAACAAAAAAAAGTTGCATGTGAACCAAAAGATAAGAATGATATACAAGCGTGACTTGCAGAAGTATTGATAATAATAGACTATGTTGAGTTTTGAAGTGTAATGAGGAAAATGTACTCCCATATGAATTTTGTTTGCATGATGTAATCATGTGGATGAAGTAAGTAATCAAAGTTTCCTCATTCACAAGAGTTCTGAATGTTTCGAAATTGTGGTAGAAAAGTTCATACCACATTTCGAGAGGGAAAAATGTAAGATTAATTAAGAAAGACAATTAAGAAAGATACTTCCCCATACTTCAGATAATGCAATACATACTATGCATTGAAGGTAAAAGTGATCTATAAAAGATGAATGTGATCGTTGAGGGAGTAAGACGGTCATAATAACGATACCCCTAAAGTAAAGAAATAGCTAAATTCCTAGACCTTTTATAGTTCTGATAGGAAGATAGCATAATCGGCTAGTATTTATACTGGACAAGTTCAGAGTTATCAAGGCGGTGCTAAATGCGCCATATGAGGTTTTAGCAGATTAAACCCAAAAATAAGAAATTTGAAGATACACCATCTTTACAGAAGATAGATTAATCTGGGGGAGCATGGTATGCAGATACCTAAGGCTTGAATAGAAGTGAGATTACATATCCACTACAGTGTTTTAGAGCAACAAATTGCTTGCTTAAGACATGCTGATGTTATATGACATATACAACACCAGATGTTAGCTCTTAAAGAAGATGAATAAGTAAACAAGGATCTTGTGATACAGGAGGCTATAGAACAATTGCCTTTTGGCAATGAAGAGTAACAATAGCCCCATATGAAAGAAGTGCCACGAGGCCCCAGAAGGTCTCAAAGAATAAGAAAATCAGATATTTCTTGTGACTAAGGAGTCAATATTAAGAAAGAAATTCAAATGGAGGGTAATTCCACCTCATTTGAAAAAGTCATGAGAGACGTTCACTCGTCTAAATGGCAAGAAGCAAAGGAAGATGAAATGAAATCGATAAATACCAACGATGTTTGGGACTTAGAAGAAATTCCCAATGAAGCCAAAATAGGAGGTCTGTAATGGGTCTGCAAGATAAATGTGACTCAAAGGGAATATGGAAAGCTATAAAGCGCCACTTGTGGCGAAATGATTTACACAAAGAGAAGGAATAGATTATAATGAGAATGCAACGATTCTTTTAGAATCATAATGGCGTTAATGGCACACTATGATTTAGAGTTACATCAGAAGGATGTAAAGACACATTCCTCAACGGGGTTTGTATGGAAAGTTTATATGGCACAACACAAAAGGTTTTGTCGTGGAAGGAAAAGAACGTAAGGGATATTGCCTGAAGAAATCAATTTATGGATTAAAGCAAGCTTCAAGACATTGGTACTTGAATTTTGACAGTACAATAAGAAAGTTTGGATTTTAAAGAGAATGTAGAGGATAATTGTATTTATGCAAAGTTTAAAAATGGGAAATCAATTTCCCTAATCCTACACGTGGATAGCACCTTGCTCGCTAGTAGTGGTGTTAATCTACTGTTAGAGAAGAAGCAGTTCTTGTCCTCAAGTTTTAATGAGAATGATCTTGGTAAAGCGTCATTCGTTCTAGAAATTGGAACTTATCGAGACAAAAGAAAAATGGGTATTAGAACTATCTCAAGTGTATACTGAGAGAAGATTCTAAAGAAATAAAGTATATATGTGAATAAACCTGCGTCTGTTTCTATAGTCAAGGGTAATAGTTTTGGGAACTTTCAGTGTTCCAAGAACCAATGTGAGATCGAAAGGACGTCCTATATGCTTCAGCTGTTGGAAGCTTAATGAGTGCTTATAAGTAAGAACTTACCCTGACATAGTTCATGTATCCAGGATGTTTTGGCAGAAGTCCAGTCCAGATATAGATCACTGGAATGG